TAGGTCTCAACTTACATAAAGGAAGAAGCAAGATTCTCCGATGCAACACAACATGCACCAACCAAATCACTCTTGATGAAGATGCCTTGGAGGACGTTAACACGTTTACATATCTGGGCAGCATCATCGACAATCAAGGTGGATCCGATGCAGATGTGAGGGTGCGGATTGGCAAAGCAAGGGCTGCGTTTCTACAGTTGAAAATATCTGGAACTCTAAACAACTTTCAACCGAAACCGATATCAGGATTTTCAATACAAATGTGAAGACAGTTCTACTGTATGGAGCGGAAACATGGAGAACTACGAAAGCCATCATCCAGAAGATACAAGTGTCTATTAACAGCTGTCTACGCAAAATACTTCGTATTCGTTGGCCAGACACCATCAGCAACAACGAACTGTGGGAGAGAACAAACCAGATTCCAGGGGAGGGGGAAATCAGGAAGAAGCGGTGAAGTGGATAGGACATACATTGCGGAAAGCACCTAACTGCGTCACAAGGCAAGCCCTCACATGGAACCCTCAAGGTGAAAGGAAAGGAGGAAGGCCAATGAACACATTACGCCGATAAATAGAGAAAGATATGAGAGGAATGAACAAACATTGGACGAAACTTGAGAGGGAAGCCAAAGACAGGGTTGGTTGGAGATGTGATTGAAATGGGCAGTACCATAGCCGAACCGTGCTGTTTGTTAAAATGACTAAATCTCGCTTGAGGGAAGCCTCCTCGACTGAGGGTTATTTCAGACTCCATGAAGTTGCCAAAGATATCCTCCAAACTTCCAAGAGATTGCGTTTAACTCTCTTCTCCGATCTCAGTCAGACAAGACGCCAGAAACTTCCAAGAACAAACCAGCATGGTTGCTTACGGAGACAGTGAAGTGTTTAGTGGCAGCTTCGATGAAGCTCACGCAAATGATGTGCATTAGTGGTGGTGGCCATCATGCAACATCGGCCATCACACGATCATGGCAACTTACGTCCTCGGAGTAGGTTGTCCGTCACACCTCAAGACGAATAAATCTTTGCGCCTAATGGGTATGAACTTCGGAAATCCGGAAGATTTAACCGAGGTCCATCTGCACCAGATGATCTGAAAAACCACCGAGTACCTTTTCAGCAATGTGAGAGGACTGAGGAGTAAGCTGTTAACCATCAGGAATGTGTGATCTCGGATGGATCTGAAGATCATAATCCCAAGTAAGGCATGTCTATCTCCCTACACTGCAGACGACGAAGTAAGCCTGCAAGGCATTAAACTCTTCTCACGCGATGGCGCTCATCAGACAGGAGGTGGAGTCTCTATGTATGTTAATATCCATTTGAAAGCCGAAAGGCTACGCGGTACCAAACTAGCCAATGTGATAGAATCATGCTGGTTTTACTTCAACGCGAACGGCACAAAATACTTGGTTGGAGGGAGTTGCCGGTGCCCCTGAAGTACTGAGGCTGAAAATGGATGACTGAGGCAATACTGCAATTAACACTCCTTTGGTTGGGTCAGATACTTTTAGCTGGAGCTTTCAACAGTCCGCCTCTGAATCGCAGCAAACAGGGTACAACTCCCACCGGTTGGTTCCACACGCCACTTGACACAGCCAACAAAAGTTTCGAAATGACTGAGAATGTATACAACGCTACTAGATGGACTAAGGATGGAAAACCCTGCTACTTGCATTATCCGTTGACAAATGATCATCTCCTGGTTGATACTGTCCACCTCCACACTGCTAGGAAGTAGCGAACATAGAGCAGTCATTTTTAACATGGTCATAAACGATATAATACGGAAGGACGAAAACGATGCCTACTTTCGCAACCATAGGGCGAATAACGCATATATGAGAGAGCTTTGTCTACACGCCACATGGCCACGGTAATGCTGGAGGCTAATAATAGATGACCACTAGCAAACGGAAAGAGATATAATCCAGAGTGCTGTCCTACACGATGTATCTCAGGTATATCACACATCTGGAGAGAGAATAACACGGGTTAAGCAAGAAACTGAACGCTTGGTATAGTCGTAAAGGAGAGCTTGGTGCAAGTGAGAGGTCATACTGAGAGATTCAGATTGCGGTTCTTATTTGGTACCGAGAAACAGATGCAGTGCCAAGGTTCGAAGTGATAGGACACACTTCCAGATGAAGCTAGCTGACAGAATACGAGCAAACAAGAGCTACCTTTTTCTATTCGTAACCCAAAGAAAACCTACCAGTCAGGGTGTTCTTCCCGCCACAGATCCAAATGGAGAACTTATCAACCTAGATAAGGGTGAGATCGTTAACAGTAACTTCGATGATCATTTAAAACAGGTACCTACACGTTCAGAGTATTAGTGAAACCTAGTGCTAGTTTACCGCTTAGGGAATATCCGACTTCTGACTTAGTCGCAGGAAAGTTAGAATCCTTACGCTCAGGAAAGTCACCAGGATGTGACAATTTTCTCCAAATAGTCTCAAAGCAGTCAGCAGGAGCTGTCATTTTACCGGTATGTGGCCTGTTCAACCGCCCACTAGAACCACCAAACTCCCAACTGAGTGGAAACAAGCTACTCTCTCCAGTCCTTTGAGGAGGAGATATGATGGATCCAGCCTATTACAGGCTGGTCGCGTTACTACTTAAACTTTGAAAAGTAATTGAAGGATTGGTGAACGAGCAAGTGAGGGAGTATAAGCATAAGAACAGAATCCTTCGTGAGGCTCAACACGAGTTTCGGAATTTCAGGTCATTTGCATCCAATCTTTCATAGCACGGGAAAGCTGGGTAACGTACTAAAACCGAAAAATACCGGAGCACATAATCTTCCGCGACTTTGCAAACGCCTTCGACACAGTATCTGACGTACTCCCAATTGGGCTTCACTGACCCACTTACGTCCTGGGTAAGAAACTGCCTTGAGAATGGAAAGTTTCTTACCAGTATAAATACTCTCAACATTAGGAGTTTCACAGGGAACCGTGTAAGTTTAACTTCCTTTCCTGATAATCGTCAGTGATATGTTAGACAAAATAAATCCAGCGGTAATGATCTACACAGACGATTCAAAGATCTGCAGTTCCTTAATAAGCGAACAGGATTCAACTGAACTTCAAAACGACATTACGGCACCAAATCATACAGCATGAGCATCTTTCGAAGTAAATTTTTATCATATACAGCTGTTCTTTCTGTAATGGCCTTCGCACTCTACAGCGAAATTGGGCATACTGGTTTTTGTTCTGCTATTAACAATCACGGTATTCTTGCTTCAGACAATAAAATTGTAGCCATTCTGGATTACACAGAACTGACCTCAAGCAACTACGAGGGTTTAAGGGGCTAGTAAGGTGTAACAAAACTGTATTTTAGTGGCTTTGTATAACCTCAATCTGAAAAGTGAAAACGGACAAAAGCCTTATCCAACTCGAAATATCCATGACATCATCAAGTAGTTTTTTTCAAGCACGAAATGCATTGCAAAGAATAAACTAAACGAAGAGGAAGGAAAACAGATGAATTTCTCAGTGATCTATTTTATGGAAAGGGCTGAAGTGACTCAACCTATTTTCATTATCTTACTGTAGGTTAGGAGTTAATATATAATGCTGACTTACCGTATACTGAACGATGATTTTCGTGTTGCTATGTCTTATCTCTTCCTTCCATCTACGGCTTGCTACGTGGGAGGGCGATTTAGGGATATTTATAGGCTTAGATTAAATATTCGAAGTCTGGAGTGCAGTATTAGGCATCGAGTAGTAAATTTCTAGAATTCTATCTCAGAACACACATTATTAATGCATTCTGCAGGCACATTCAAAGAGAGATATGATCTTAACAGTATTATTAAGTGAAAAGGTTGATGCTGGTGGACTGATATTCTATTCTTGTGACTGAAGACCGAAGACCCAAATTTACTCTGCTGCTTATCGGTTCCGTTGTTTGTCTTTTCCACATAAAGCCGAACGCATCTTGTGACCTTGACTCTGGTTTAAAATACTGGGTTTACTGAGCCGGAGCTACGCTAAACGTTGTGACGTCGTAATTAACTGATTCAAGTATACCATCATAACGAAACTGCATTTTGACATACATCTGTGGCTTTGATTTCTTACATATTTTTTGGGTCGAACTTATTTCTCATAACCAATACACGACGAAGTTCAGCATTTGAGAATAAAATGATTCATACTGGTTCTAACATAATAGATTTATATTTTCAATATTCACTCGGCATATGTGTTTTTATTGATTATGTCACCTCATTTACAGATTGTGTGGGTTTTTTTTCTCAAAACTAATAAATAGGGTTGTTGTTGGTATTCCAAAAATTGTTGCTATTTAATAGTGGTATACATAAACCAACTAAATAAATGTTTGTGTCCCTCTATATAAAAAGTTCTTCAGAAAGTCACAAGAAATTGAGATCATGGACGATACGCCCCGGTGAATAAAAGGATTTTCATGTCGCATTTTGGTGTGCCTGACATTATTTTTAGTGGCATTCGAATCGAAATTGAGTCTACTCTCTGCTAACCTCCGGTTGTGCTTGGTGAAAAACATTTACGCTACGGTTCGTGTGGTTCACACGTTTGTTTGGGTCTTACTACAATTGTTATTCAATATTTGGCCATTCTGAAATGCTTTTTCTCAACCGAAACCCCTTCATCTAAATCTGTTTATTATCATCCAAAAATTAGTCCATAAACACAGATTTACCGTCCTTATGTACAGAAATTCTCCGAAGTTTAGTGTACTGATATGTTAACTATTCATTTAACGTCTGGTAGTCAACATTTGTTTGTTTAGTTTTTTATAATATTTAGTACACAGTCGGTGATAACCTTAAAAAATTAGTTTTTAATCTGTATTTCAGCCATTATACTAAGTTTTCGAGCCAACACGCCTCATATCAGTTTGTTTTAGTTGCGAGCACTACATTCTGTGTGTGTATAAACAAAACTTTACCATAATATCTTTCTTTACTTTTATTATTGTTGCAGAAAAGCCTTGGGGATGAGTAGATATGAATCTGTTGAACCACCGTCCGGAAGTCCAAAATCATTCATCTATCTTATCATCATATCACAGGTTTATTAATGATAAAGAGAGCCTAACTTTGTATTTCAGATTTTTGGGTTACTTTCCGTCGTTTTAACAGCCGTATGGTTAGGAAAATACTGGGGAGGTTTCAGTTGGACTCATGCTAGCACTATCTTTAATTATCATCCTTTATTCATGGTCTTGGGTTTAGTATTTCTATATGGTGATGGTAAGTGTGATGAAAAATAACGTGTATTTTCCATAACATGACAAATCTAGTACTTAATGTGCTTTGTAAATAATAAACAACTAATTGTATTCTGTATTTAGGTTATCTTAGATTACATACCACCTTACCTTTATTTCTACATTTAAGAAACAATTAAATATTGAATTCTCCTTTGGTCTAATATGCCAATGTTTTAATTTGTGTAGTTTCATTGAACTCGTGAAAGACTAGTCTCTCAGTAGGATTATCACATGACTTTTAAATGCACTCGATTGAGCCTCAAGACACTTTCAGTCTTCTGGCATGCATTGCAGATTATTTTATTGAAATTTTCTGAATGTTGCTGCACATAATAAAACTTTTTAAAACTGTCGAACTTCTTTTGAACATCATAACACCAATAATAAGAATGTTTGATATTTTCAGTTATCCAAACTAAAATAATTAGAATTTCTTCAGTTTTCATCATGAAGTGAAACTATCTAAAATGTCGTTAAAAAACAACGACCACTGAATATATGATTTGTTGTAGTTTGAGACTCGTAAATAGCATACACTAACAATACTTTATCAACCATATCCAATACTTTCAGGCTTTGTGAGTCAAGGTCAGATAGCTTTTAAGTTTATTCTTATCATCGGGTAGTTATCCAGCACTATCGCTGACTGGTTTTTTTTTTGACTTCTCACTAGACCACGAAAAGCAGCTTTATGTACCTCAAATATTTAAATGTTGTATTTTACCTTACGAATTTCTCAGTCGTATAAAACAACTAACATTAGGTTGCAATAGAAGAACTGTTATTTGGTAATTAAAATAGCTGTTAAGCTCTGTATATAGATTATTTTTTATCTTCTGGAGATGAGGCGATACCTAAATTTTAGACCTATCAGTTAGATATTGATAAACTGCAGAGTGGTGTACAGGCTGACTTCTTTATATCTTCTATGAAATCTTGTCATGTTTATGTTGTGTTCATATTTTGTGTATAGGCATGTTGTTTTATTACATGAAAAACTATTTACCTGGCTAGTGATCTCGTCTTTGATTTTTAATCACTCAGGTATTTGAGTTGATCCTTCTTCCATATTACTAAATCAGGTGTATCACTTCCATAACACTTTTTAAATTCAAGCTGTTTCTTTCAGAGCGGTAAAATTTTATAGCACCTCCCATTTTCACCATGATTTCAGTAAGAACACCTACCGACTAATGTATGCGTTTTTCAACTACTTATTATAGACAGCCAGTAATATACATATATTTTAATAATTTATTTTGGAATCCAGCAAAATTTCTGATTGCTAAATATCCGTTCACCTTCTAAAGCTGTTATTTTTATTTTAGAATGTGCAAATAATTATAAAGATTGTTTGTTTTGTTTTTGATGGTTTCATTTAAAATATTTCTCGTTACTTTTACCGAACGTGATGTATGTTTTCTCTTTTTTTTTAAAAAAAAATTCGTAATAGCAATTCTAGTATACCGTGTATTTCGATCAGTTCGGAAAGTGCCAATCAAAATTCTACATGCTGTTCTACATATTCTTGCATTTTTATTCAGTGTTCTTGGAATTAAAGCAGTGTTTGATATGCACAACGCTCTCACAATACCCAATTTATACAGTCTACACAGTTGGTTAGGTATAACAGCTATTATAGTGTTTGGGTTACAGGTGAGACCAGTTTTATTTACATTCATAGATGTAGTTTTAAAACATTTTCAAAGGGTTTTTCTATAAATCAGTTACATGTAACATCAACAAAATAATACGTGCTTTAAATGCGGGCATGATTTGTCTGTACACTGTTATTTGTTTGTAATAAACGCATTGTTCTCATGGTTAATAAGTAGAATAGGATTATTCCTGTCTAGTGATTAATCATAGTTTGATTGAATATCCTTTAAATCATAATGGACATTTAGAAAAATGTGGGATTTATACAGTTGAAAGTAATCAGATCATGTTTAACTGTTATTAAATATCTTTGCTAGGTGAAATTCCAGTGAAAAATAATCCTTTCAAAACTTCATTGTTTAAGATCTAGTTATCAACAAATCATAACACTTTAATATTGTCACAAAAAATTGTGTCAAAGGAGCTAGATGGTGTATAAACGTTAAGAACATCCATCTATTATGAACTTCAAATGTTGTCGGTTAAACAGTACTGTTACTTTATGAGTTTAGTTAAGTGACTTCCACTTATTCTAGAGAAAGGTATCTTGTTATGTTTATATCGTCTTTTCTGTAAAACAAAACAGCTATATAATCAGGATAAACTTGAAGAAATCAAAGACCTATATTATTAGTTTACCTCGCTCTGTAAATAAACAAAAAAGGAACAAGTATGATTGCTGATCCATTACACTTATTAAAAGCATCAGGTTGACAGTGTTAACTATTCTGCTTACAATGTCATATAAACCTTTTCAAGGAACCGTAACAGTTTGCTATATGTTTTGTCTCATCACGTATCCATTAATTTAAAACTTCATGAATTATATCTTTTAAAGTACCAATAATGAATTAGTTTGAGTAGGTTAGATGACTTTCATTGTGAATCCTCTTGAACACCCTTAATTAATTGAATTCTAATTCAATCCAGTCCAATTTCTATTGCATAAAGTGTAGAAATATTATGTTTTCTAGTTTAATCATGATGAGATTTTTTAATAAATGTTATGATGGTCAGTCCACTGGTATTACATCTGTTTACCTGTAGGTTTTGATATTAAAACGAAACAGTGAGACAGTATACCAATAATTATTTTAATGAACCCAACGACAGTCACATAAATAAAAGTATTTTATCAGCGACATACTTAAATGACGAGACTACATAGAAAAAACATGTAAGCTAACCAGATCAGTGAGTACTATTAACAAATTTAAAACAATCGGTCAGCGAATTATATGAAACTCAAAAACCAACTTATTAAACTGTTTGACTATAGGTTAAATATTTCATTTCATGAATAGTTTGGGGCGTTATTCCTTTGTGCTTGTCAACTAGCCCATACAATCAAATAGTATATTAAGTGAATAGTTGAAATGCTTTAAACAATTTTCGATTTCTAACTCAAAGTAAACTTCGGTAAACGGAATGCTTTAAGATTAGTTATGTCATACTCATCTCACTTATAGATTTTGTCTCTTTAAAAACTGCTAACATTTTATTGAAGTAATAATAATTACTCCGGTTCATTGAAATATTGCTAGTAATTCTGTACCTCAAACAATGACTGCTAACAGCTTTACTTGAATGGTTTGTTTATTTTAAATGTAAAATTTAATATTTCTGTTTCAGTGAATTACATTTTCCAGAAGTCAGTTAATTTTGAAAATTATCAATAGATTTTAAGATGTATTTCAATCAGTTGCATTTTCATCTCGTTTCTCAATCTATTCATTTTTTTTCTCGTTTGGTCTAATTTAGTGGGTTGGAGGTTTAATTGGCTTTCTGGTACCACAAACACCCCAGGTTGCTCGTAGTAAACTTCTTCCTGTACATGTTACACTAGGCAGCTTCTTATATTTACTAGTAATTGGTGTATGTATTTCTGGAATTACAGAGAAAAACTTCTTTTCGGGAAAGTACGTGTTATTTCTAAGAAATAATTATCTATCTATTTTCTTGTCTTCTCCATAATATGAAATGTTACTAATGAATGTTATATTGTTTATTTAATGATAATCCAATATAGGAAGACATTTTACTCTAACTAGATCTATTTATTTCAGTATATTTGCTGGATAATATGATTATTCCTTATAAAAAAAGTATTCTTTGAACCTACGTTACTCTACTCATATCGGTTAAAGTGGCGCAGGTGCTTTATATAAGCACACATACGTCCTGTACAAAGGGGCACATAAATATTTATGCACCACACAAATTATTGAACTTGTTTGTGGGCTGCGATACTACCCTGATGCTCAAACCGAATCAGGTGGATTTCTTAGGGTGCTATTCCGGAGCCTTTGACGTACAGGTCTAATCCCCAAAATTATGGAGCAGTGTCAGGATAGTCGGTGGTCAACATTATTGTATTGTAATATTTGCACTCTTAAAAAGTATGTTACCAAGAGGTTTGAACACCCCGACCTTAGCTACTGCCCTAACGTGGTGGTCTGAAACATATACTCCTTTAGCTCCTACCATACTAGGCAGGTCGATTGTAGAACAGTAAGACTGAAACCATCAGTTTAAGGTCTGAAGACGAAGTCTTACTACTTACTGTAAAGAGGTGTGACAGCAGTAAGGTGTTCCATCTGCGGCGACGCTGCATTCTCAAGGAAGGAAGAGGCTAGATAAGGTCGACCATAAAATGTCACACCTCACCTTTTGAAGAGCGAAGCTAACATTTCCAAAACATCCCATAAAATGGCCGCGTGTCAGCGGCCTCAAGCCGTTTTCGCTTGGGCCCAGTAGTCACGTTCCCAGGTCACTAAGACTAACGCTAACCCAACTTCCTTTTTAGGCTCTTCAAGAAATACCTTTCCGGGATGTGGGCGGCCGGAAATTGACATTCGCTCTCATACCCGTAACTGCACACGACACCAAATTCGACAAAAATCCTTCTTATGCTTCTTGATAACTGTCTTACCTCCACGACTAACCTTTTTTCACTTCTTTATCATCTCGCGCAAGCGATGCAAATGATTTGAGTTCATAAAACGTTATTCCTAGTCTCCTGAATCCACGCACTAAACTAAATGTAGGAGTTCTCAATGTTCGAATTTCATGCCCAATAAGACAACAGGTTTCTCTAGCTAGGACTTTAGAATCTCTCACCATCAATGTATGCTGCTTCTCCGAAACGTGCTTACAGAATCCGAGTAGAATCATTCATTTTACCTCACTTTGTCAAGATAAAGAACCGTTTTGATTTACGGTTCTGCTTTCCGTGGCCTTTCTGTTGTAGGTATAGCAATAAGTTCAAAAGCAAAATTAGCTTTCATGGACTTGGTCCCAACAGATAATCGCTTGTGTGCTGTTCGACTAACCGGGGCAATAAAGATTAGTAAAGATAGGTATACTCGCCGTCGCCTCTTCATTGTCTCTTCCTACGCTCTCACTGAATGCAGCTCGAATTGCGTAGCAGACGAATTTTCAGAAAGCTCTCGAACCTCCTTCAAAATGTTAGGTGCTCTGATGTAGTAAGAGTGGCAGACTTTATTGCTCAATTAGGTGGACTAAGCGAAACCCTAAGACAGATAGATGGATCTTATGGTGTGGTGGATCAAAGAACAAATTATGGCGACCATCTGCTGCGGCTGTGCTCAGATAACGGCCTATTTCTAGCAAATACCAACTTCAAGCACTAAGAAAAAAACCTTTCGGTATGGTGGCCATCGAAATTGACCTAACACTGGAGCAAACAAGACCACTTTGCTATCAGCCACCGATAGAGAGGCTCGATAGAAGACTGTCGCTCGTTCTGGGGGACATGTTTGGATTTAGATCATGCTTTTGCACGAGCACGTATTTATAAGCGTCGTACTGGACAACTATTCAGACTTATCAAGAAATCGGGTACCAGGAATCTGACTATTAGTAAGACTATTTCGGAAAAAGATGGGGAAATTATTCATTCTGAATCCAGGAGACGAGATCGATTGGCAGAACACCTCAGGGATCAGTTCAACTGGCCTCCAAACACACTTCTGTTGACCACAATCTGCAGTCAACCTGTATGGCAGATTGATGTAAATCCTCCAACTCCTCATGAGGTTAGAAAGGCTATACGCCATCTCAAGAGAAGGAAAGCAGCGGGCCCTGACAGGCTTACCCCTGAGATTGTTAAGGATATTGGCCCAGTTTTAGCGGTCAGGTTGACTGAGATCTTAATTAGAACTTAGGAACTGGACGTAATCTCATCTGACTGGTCTCAACCACTGATTGTCCCAATCTATAAGAAAGGGCAAAAGCCGTCTTGTAGCAATCACAGAGGAATCAGTTTAACTAACATAGTGTCTAAAATATTGACTTTAATTGTACTACGATGCCTAACTAAAGCTTGTGAAGAGCAGACTAAGAAAAGCCAGGGCTGTTTCAGACCTGGACGTGTCTGTGTAGAGCATATATATTCACACTTCGTCAGGTTTCACAACATAGACACATATTTAGGCGCCTGAAAATGGTTATATTTCTCGACCTTAAGGCGGCATTGAACTCTGTTAATCGTGAGGTTATTTGAAAGTGTCTATCACTTAAAGGTGTACCAAAGAAGTACATTAACCTTATACAAGCTCACTTTTCAGGAGCTGACCTACCAGGAGATATGCTTGTTGATATAGAATATGCCGATGACATATTTCTGTTTGGTGAAGACGCTGAAAAAATACAGAGTCTTCTGGTCACCATAAGCAACGATGCAAGCATGTTCAGGTTGCGATTCTCCCTCCCTCGAAATGCGAAATGTTACTTCAGGATTGGTTTGCCTCGGCACCTGAACTAATGATAGGGAGTGAAGCAGTTGAGTATGTTGACCGCTTCACTTACCTGGGGAATCTCATCAGTGCTGATGTCTGGGTGTGTCGCGAAATCTCAGCATGGATGCAGAGGGCTGGACTGGCTTTTGCAAACTGGCCTCACTTATGACGTAAGTAAGATACTCATCTGCTAACTAAAGGACGAATTTACAGTGCAACAGTTCGCTCTGTTCTACTTTATGGTTGCGAAACATGGCCGGTAAAAGAGGAGGATATTCGTCGGTTACTGGTTTTCAACCATAAGTGTCTTCGAAGCATTGCTTGTTTATCTTGAGACAACCAAGTAAGCAATGCTGTTGTGAAAAAACGGGTGCTAAGTAAGGATGGCAGGTCAATAGATGAAGTATTGAAACTTCATCAATTTAGGTGGTTGCGTATGCCTAACGGCCGATTGCCTCGGCGAGCTGTGTTTTGTGTAGAGGTAGGCTGGAAGAAAGCTAGGGGCGGCCAAATCAAATCATGGAACAAATCCATGAAGTCACTGAGAAATGGAAGATGTAGGCTACCTGGTTAGGGTCCGCAAGACAGTCGTATTCGTTGGTTAGCGACTTTGAGTGACATGGCTCAAAATCATTTGTGATGTCGTAGGTTTATCCATTCTTTGTCTTCCCTCTTGTCCTCATGAGCTGAGGACCACTTTTTTATATCTTTTTTTTCAATTTATTTCGCTGGATTGTACTTTTTGAATAATTATTTCAAACCCTAATATTTTCCATTACCTCCGATACTACTAATACTACTACTTCTACTACTATGGGATTTGAATCGACAATCGATTTCTTTGCTCATGTGGTATGGTAACTGATGTACGTACGTACGAATTTCTACGTTATAGCTGACCAACTGACTTAGTTGTTATTTGATGGTTGCAGTAGGCTGTATCATAAAAATTTGTCTTATATCTTCCATTTTGTTTTAACTAAGAAAATAAACACTTCAAATGAAAACTAATGTAAATCAGTTCATCACTAGACATCCCACATAAACAACATAGCTATTAATAATTTCATAAAATTGACCTGCATTTATTATGATTACATCTAAAATATAATCTTCAAATCGTTTTTCTTTTCTGTAAATCGTTAACGGTTGTATCAATTTAATTGTTATATATATCTGTATAATTTTTTAAAATACAAACTATTTATTCATGTGTTATTTAGTTATCAACATTTAAACACTCGTGAATTAGTCGGTAATATGCTTGGTGTTGTATTGGTAATATTCGGTGGTCTAATATTTTACTTAACTCAACATCCAAGCTATCGTCGTGTAGAAATAATATCTCCGGAACATCGTGCACTACAAGAATAAAAATTATTTCTCTTATCGACCATAATAATGATATCAATGAAATCTATCAATGAAATAAAATATAATTTAATATTTTAACTGAATTACAATCAGCTGGTCACTGTCACCGTTTCTCACCCTTATCTTACACCTTTGGTTTTCTTCATTTTTGTCATGATATTATAGATGTTTGAAGTTTGCATAAGATAGATGATTACAATAATTTGTTATACTTCAATTATATTTTATTTGTGATAATGTTGATGTATTTTTATTCTATCATTTGGCATTATTTGTCAACCTTCTAATTGGATTTACTAATAACTTGATCTCATAATATACTGTAATGTGTATTGTCATCAAATCAAGCCATTTTTTTTGATTACAATTTATTTCTATTTGTGTATTGAGTATTGTAGTTTTTGGTGTCCCAGTAAAAATATCCTGTACTTTGATTTTCTGGTCATTGATCTGAACACTTTTGACGCTTTTCCCTACATACTTATTCTTGGAATCTGTGTTGTAATTTTAAATGTAATATTTTTTTTGTTCAGTAAATGTGCATAAACACTATACTACTCCATTTCTTATATATATATATATATACAATATGTAATGTCCACAATGTAAGTGGTATGATGGGTGACGAGATCTTATTCACGTCTACTTTTTCTTTCTCATTTGTTGTTTTAATTTGTGTTTTAACGAACTGGTGATTATTGTTCTTGTTTTAAAATTTATATTGTTTTAATAATTATATTTTTATTTGAGAACATATAAGTTTATTTGTTTATTTACTAAAAAGAGGAAAAAAAACAAGAGTTTCTGTTTTAATGAACCGATTTAATTATTAGTTCCCTTTGCAGGTTGACTTTATTTTCGTACTTATGACAATTTTGTAATCAAACTTTATTGGTTACTTATTTGTTTGTCTATGTATGTATGTGTGTATGTGCTTGTGAGTAATCATTGGTTTTGATATTGAAAATGTTGTCCTACTTTTGCTTCAAGTTTATGTCAATATATATATAATATATAAATAAATATATATATATATATCTTAGCAGCTTCAATCTTTTAATATGCTACACAAAGCCTGTTCCAGCATAATTTTACTAGATTTCAAGAAAAGTCTTTAGAAGTTCTATGTTTGAGCATCTATGAAATACTGACAATTCATGTGGGAAAAACAGCTTAAGATGAAACAATTGTTACGCACACATGTAAACATGTCAATGTGATATGCTTGGACCATTACGAGTTTACCTTAGTCGGAAAATGAGAGCGAGGATCCGGCGACACGACAGGCTACTCTAATCCGATTGTCCCAAACCACCATTGAGTAAAAGAAGAAGACTTGATATGAAGTAGAACATGTATTCTACAAACATCAAGAAAGTACGAGGTTCGAGTCCAGAAGAAAATCAGGATTTATCCAAATTAAAATTACTATAATAATGTGAACTGGACTGGGTCGTTGAATCACTGCATGTTGTAGCAAATTCAGTGTACTGTATTAGCGCTTTGATTATTAATAGTTACGAAAGCGTTCAGTATAGGAACTAATCATATCATAGGATCAGGTAGAAACAAGTATTTTTCTCAACAAAACTAAGCCTTCTTTGTTCAAAGCGTTGTTCTCGTTAAGAATTTTAATAATTTATTCATGAAGGACAAATATCTGGTTGCTGGAGCGGCTTTCTTGATTTACGAACCTATGTATATGTTGCAGTGTCCTGTACTAAAACTACAGAGTAAACTGTTGATGTATTGTATGCTGTTTTCCTTGCTGGGATTTATCTCGTTAACCTTATAGCTAGTTTTCGACTGAATGAAGAAACTTCTGAACTTTTATCTGTTTAAAGCGCAGCACATTCCTTTGACATTTTTAAGGCTTGTATCGGCATAGTTATGGTTATTTTGTCAGGTATTGGAATCTGATTATAGAAAGCACACGAAAGTCTTAAGGTCATAATTAGATGAGTGAAGCACCTTTAGAACTAGTGACAATACTGAAATTAAAGCTAGTATTGATTAAGGTGTCAATAAGGAAAGATATATAGAATAAACATATTTACTTTCATAGTTTTCACCACAGATTAATTCTAGCTAGATAATCAATGAAAACCAATAAATACCGGATAGCTGTTTCGCTTAAGCATTGGTCTCCTCAGCAGTATGCATTCACGACCAATCTAGTGTCAGTCTCTAAGTAAATTCTGTATGTGAAGGATAGTCACATTTGATGCACCTCGTATGTACTGTTTATCATTTATGATAGATACATTTGTGAAGTAATGTTCAATAACGAGGATGAGGTTAGCTATAGTAATTGATGATCTCCGAGAATTTGGTAACCACACTATTACTTAAAAATTGCAGTTATAAACGTGATAAAATTAGCAATCATTAAATTTAGTTGAGATTATTTCTAGTCAAACAGGAGGATTCTTATTGGTATTGCTGTATCAGAAATCTACAACTTACTGAAGATGCTTTCACTAATTGTCTGAATAAAATCATCAATAAGAAACGTTGAAAAAGAAGCTTACAAGTGGAATCTATTCGCAAGTATCTAACAATATTCATTTTTTTATTTTGATTCAAAGATACTCTTATAAAAGCTTAAGTGAGGGTTAATTATAATAATGTTTTTATACAACAAAATTACATGGAATGACAAAAAAATACTGATTTCTTGTTATTCCCTACTTGAAAAGTAGAAGAAGAAATAGAATAAAATGCAGTGAAATATTTAACTTTGGAATATTGGAAACCTCAAGTCAATTAAGATAATTAATATTGAACTTTATGGTGAAAAATGTGTATACATATATATCGATTAGCATTGGACGACTTATAGATTTAATCCTATAACATGAACTATCTTCATAAGTTCGTTATATTTGTCCTTAAGATCTTAAATACTACAACAACAACAACTACTATTACTCCTACTCTTAATGTATGCATCCCATTCGTTGAATAATAAATCTTGTAATTCGATACTACTTTATTTGTAGTTAATTTAATAGAGATTTTCTGACTTTTGAATGCAGTTCACTTTATAAACTAATATCAACTATTATTTAATGGAGAAACAATTAATATTGGCTTATGATTAAAATCAAGTCTTTGACTGATTTCATATAGAAATCTTAAATGATTTAATAATTAGTAAGTTTGTGAAATTTATCTATAAATTTTGTTACCGATAATTATGATGCTAAGATATGTAGCTTTGAATATCATTCACGTTGTCAATCCTATTAAGATTATAAATAGTCTTTTTTTTTGATAAACAGTAACTAACATGAAGCTTAATTTCGGCAATGTCTGCTCTCTTTCTCCTACCATAAAATAAATGTAATATATTCTTTTACTACTGTACAGTTTCATTCTTAGATTTATTATTATTTGAATATGAGTGGAACGTTTTGTATAATTAGAGTCTTGTCAGTGCAATTGATTTTCCTATAATTTAAATAAATCAGTGAGTATTACATGAATGTTTTCAAGTGATTTTCTTTGAAAAAGAAAGGATTAAGAACACATCTCATTGAAGTAGTTGGTTATTGTAGTTACATAATATACTAATAAATTCCAATGGAGGAGGAAATCAGGAAGAAGCGATGGAAGTGGATAGGACACACTCTACGAAAAGTACCGAACTGCATCACAAAACAAGCCCTCACATGGGACCCTCAAGGCAGAAGGAAAAGAGGAAGGCCAAGGAACACATTAAGCTGAGAAATAGAGAAAGATATGAGAAGAATGAACAGAAATTGGACAGAATTGGAAAGGGAAGCCCAGGACAGAGTTGGTTGGAGAAAACTTGTGGGCGGCCTATGCTCCATTGGGGGTAACAGGCGTGAGTAAGTAAATAATGATATGATGTGGAATTCAACATCTCTGTCCACTACAACTTTTATTTTGAGGGAAAAATTGAAGAATTATTATAACTGACTGAGAATAATTCTATTTTTACACGATCTGATAATTCATTTTATTGAGTAATCTCACCTCATTGATTGACAGTTGAACAACAGCTAATAATTATTGAATAAAGAAGTAATACATTTTTTTTCGGAAATAGGCTACAGCTAAGCTAAAGTGATCGAAAACTGTGATTTGTTAATTAATATACATATATATTGAATGAGTAAAGTTCATTTGTATATTTAATAGTGAAATCATATAAAATGTAAAACGAAAAAACTCAGAAACTAATGAATTAATATTGATATATATATATATATAACTCCGCCAGTAGAACCTTAGGGGCTACTGCCGGTCCCAAGCCCGGATAAAGGAGGAGGGTTGGACATGGGGTTGGCGACCCCATTCCGTTGAAATCTCACTTGCCAAAAAAACGCTAACCAGAAAAAATAATTCAAACCATTTTAACTCTGCCCTGGGAGTTGGAAGAAGAATTATGACGTCTCGTGATGAAAGCCGAGTTCCCTCGGAAGTCACGGGGCTGATGCCTCTTCTGACAACCAGAGCAACCATTTTTTTAGGTACATGGAACGTTCGTACATTGTGGGAGACTGGAAGACTATTTCAAGTTGCGGCAGAAATGAAACGATACAACCTCGAGGTGCTTGGAATCAGTGAAACGCATTGGACACAGGTAGGACAACTGAGACTAGCTTCAGGGGAACTGCTGTTATACTCTGGTCATGAAGAGGAAAGCGCTTCACATACACAAGGAGTTGCACTGATGCTGTCCAAACATGCACAAAAGGCACTGATAGGATGGGAATCTCATGGACCCAGGATCATTAAAGCATCCTTCAAAACGAAGAAAGAGGACATTACAATGAACGTCATCCAATGTTATGCACCTACCAATGACTACAATGACGACGTTAAAGATCAATTCTACGAAAGGCTGCAGTCAATCGTCGAGAAATGTTCACCAAAGGATTTAACGATTCTTATGGGAGACCTGAATGCCAAGGTTGGAATGGACAACACTGGATATGAAGACATCATGGGACGACATGGACTGGGAGAAAGAAACGAAAACGGTGAGAGATTTGCAAACCTATGTGCCTTCAACAAACTGGTCATCGGTGGCACAATATTCCCGCACAAACGCATACACAAAGCTACATGGATTTCACCGGATCACACTACTCAAAACCAAATTGACCATATCTGTATCAACAAAAAGTTCAGAAGGACCATGGAGGATGTGAGAACCAAGAGAGGAGCTGATATAGCTTCAGATCACCATTTGCTGATCGCCAAAATGAGATTGAAGCTAAAGAAGCACTGGACAACGGGGCAGACAACATCACACAAGTTTAATACAGCCTTTCTTCGGGATACCGTAAAACTCAACGAATTCAAGATAGCCCTCACCAATAGGTTCCAGGCCTTTCAGGATCTACTCAATGGAGAGGAAGCAACATTGGAGAACAATTGGAAAGGGATTAAGGAGGCAATCACTTCAACATGTCAGGAGGTCCTTGGTCGCAAGAAGCAGCATCACAAGGAATGGATCTCTGTTGATACTCTTGCAAAAATTGAAGAAAGGAGGAACAAGAAGGCAGCAGTGAATGTCAGCCGAACAAGAGCAGAGAAAGTTAAGGCGCAAGCCGAGTATACAGAAGCAAACAGGGAAGTGAAGAAGAGCATCAGAGCTGACAAACGAAAATATGTGGATTATCTAGCAATGACCGCGGAAAAGGCTGCAAGAGAAGGAAACTTGAGACAATTGTACGAAACAACAAAGAAGCTCGCCGGGGACTATCGTAAACCAGAACGACCAGTGAAAAGCAAGGAAGGGAAAATAATCAGCAACACTGACGAACAGCGAAATAGGTGGGTGGAGCACTTTAAGGAACTATTGAATCGACCAGCTCCACTGAACACACCAAACATCGAAGCAGCATCCAAGGACCTCCCAATTAATATTGGCGCACCTACGATTGAGGAGATCAGTATAGCCATCAGACAAATCAAGAGCGGCAAAGCAGCAGGACCAGACAACATTCCAGCAGAGGCAATGAAAGCAGATGTAGAAGCAACTGCGAAAATATTTCA